TATATATATATATATATATATATATAAACACATGTTAACAAATAAAAAAGAATCTTTTCACTCTCAAAGCCAAGCATCAAATCAATGGAAGAATAAAATTGAGACATCAATTTTATTATATTACATTTGAATGTAATATAAATTAGTTTAATTTAAGATTAATTATTCATCATAAATTAGAGGATTCAACTTTTAAAGAATTATCTTTTCATATGTTTTATAATCAAATGATTGAAATTATATATATTAATAATGATATAATTATATCATCATAATATAATCATTAAAGGAAAGCAATATTTATATATGATTCAAGCTAAGAAATTACAATATTAAAAAAATCAAGGAATTTTGGAGGTCAAAGTAAATATTGCATTAATGCATTTGACTTGTGAAGATGGTGACAAGCATGGTTTATTTTGTACCTAACACATCCCATTTGATAGTTTCTCTATGGGTAGTTGGGGTTTGTAATCCAACAATCAGTAAGGCTATGTTTGGCAACTAACTCCTTTAGAGACACAAGACCCAACTTAATTGCAATTTAATTAGACCTCGCTTAAAAGCTACCGGTATATCTCCATATTTTGATTTTTGGTTTTCTATTGGGTTTTTACCACGTTGGGATTACATGTATATATATCGAGTACTTCAAAATTTAAGTCCAATACAAGCCATGCAAGTCGAGAACCTTCCACTCATTTTCTAAAAATTGTCTTCTTTTTTTCCTTTTTTTTTTTTTTTTTAAAGAAAATTGAGTTTGCTATTTTAAAGGTTTCTGTTAAAGAAAAAGACAAAGGCCAGCATATACATATTGATGAATATCAAGTTAATGAGAAAATGTCTTGTTGGGTTGCTGAAATGTGAATCAGCCAAACAAGATTGACCAAATTTAACAACTGCAAATCCCCCAACAAGTTGTGTGTTGAAATCAGAAAGAGATGACAGACTTTGCTATTGGTCTTAGGTGTGTTCTGCGTGTAATTATTTCAACTGTCATTTTAACTCATTCTATTGAGTACTACTACTTCTGAATCTGATCCACACTTGCAGTACTCTAAGGTTGTTAAATTTGTGCTCTAGTCATAGTTATCACACGGCCGCTCATGGTTGACTAGAGGCATATTTTGAAATCTGCATATGCATACGTAATTTACAACTTACACAGCCCCTAAAGTATTTAGGCTCCCCTTATGGACCATATAAGGCTTCCATTAATGAGGAAAGGGCAAAAAAAAGTTGG